GTCTATAATTTTGTTCAGATGACTGCAGAACCTGGAAAAGCTGTTGTTGCTATCGATGCATAACATACTATTATTAATCTTTATACACACACACACACACACACACACATATATATAAATTGAATTTTGGGAAACTTTAACGGTGCTGCCAACTTTGGAAAAAGTCATCCAAATTTACTGTGTTGAGTTGGCATTGTACAGAAATGGACAACCATATTGGTCTAGAAATGTTAATTTTTTTTTTAATTTTTTTTTTTCCATGTGTACGGGGTAACACATCGTACTAAATATGTAAGGTCATATCTACATGGGTTTGATTACAGAAACTAATAAAATATTCTCTAAATAATGAAAAAAGAATAAGATAAGACTATAAGAGTGAGAAGCAATTTAAATATGTTCAGGGACCATTTTCATCTCCAGAATTAAGGATTACTTTAATGTTACATCATTGCCTTTTCTCTTTTACTTTCCTTTTTAGTTTTACTTTAGGAGTCCCTATTTTTAATGTTCATTCAGAGATTTCTTTAACTGAAATACCGAATAGTTTCTTTGGGGTGAAAAACTATAATAGTACTCAGGATCCTAATGAGATAATTAATAATGTGAAATAGGAAGTAAAGGGCTAAAGGTGTAGGGATGGTGGGAAGGGTGGGGGAAAGGTAATAAGAGAGAGGAAAAAAATATGAGAAACTGAAAAAATGGAAATAAAGTGTTTGTAAATGGGGAGGGGAGGAGGGGGTGAAGGGAGGGCAGGGACAAGGGGAAAAAATGAGAATCAAGACCTATTATGTAAAAGTACAGAATCCCAATGATGAATGTAATTGTAATGTATACCTAGATTGCACCAATAAACGCAATAAAAAGAAAAAAAAAGATAAAACAACACTACTCCTTTATTTCTTCTAATGCACTACTAATTGCTCATTATTAAAAACTTTTCTCCTTCTTTTATGCTGTGCACTGAATTGTAATCTCAGAGAAATTGTAAGTCATCATAACTCCTTCAATTTTTCTCCCTTAATCCCACAAATGTACTCAGGTAATTTGCAAGACTTAGCTCCTTCCTTCCCAGTGATCTCAATGAAAACAGTGTTCCTTCCTCCCTCCCTCCCTCCTGCTCAAGATTAACCACATACAATCACTCTTTCAACACATTTTTAGAAATGCCAGGAACTAGGCACTTTGAAAATTCACAAGCTCATCAAGTTAAAGTGAAGTAGAAAAAACATATAACTGTCAGGCATTCAAATATAATGTGAAGGGTATAACTTGAGTATGCTAGCCTGTACTGGAAATGGGAACAGTGCTGGAGCAGTGGGTCAAGGAAGACTTACAATAGAAGAATGTACAGAGGTCACGAAAAGAACAGGCTAGGAAGAGGGAATCACTTTAAACATACATGAGAAATGGTTTGCCATGTTAGACATCTAAATGGACATATCATAAGCAATAGGGCAGAGGTTCTGGAGAGTTGAGTCATCAGCTCTACAGTTACTACTGTATCTTTGTTTTTTTATTCTTGTGGTAGTAGTTACCACTATCTGATGCTGCTTTATTGCCTGACTTTCATGCTAGAAGGAAACTTCATGAAAGCAAGGAGCTGGATGTCCTATTACCATAGCCACAGGAACTCAACAGGCTTGGTTAATACAAGGGTTAAATAGATGAACAAAATGGCATAAATTAACAAATGGCTGAAGCAGGAAAATGGGGCATAGTGAAAGAGAAGACGTGGAGGGAAGGTAGATATTTATGATTTTAAAAACTCTTAGTAAACCCTTCAGTTTAAAGAGTCTGAACTAGATCCACGTGATAATCAGGCACTATAAAAGATTCAAAGCAGGGTAATGGCGTGATGAGACTTACATTTCAGGAAGATGACTTTGGCTATACTGTAAAGAACAGATTGGAGAGGGATAAAAACAGAATAAGGACCCCTGAAGGAGGCTAAAGGACTGATTAAGATGCTATTAAACACAGTTCCACCCAGAAACGTGCACAGGAATGTTCACAGCAACATTATTCATAACAGCAAGAGTGGAAACAAATATTTACAGGTGAACAGATAAACGAAACATAACGTATCTATACAATTCAACTCAGCAATAAAGAATAATGACATTCTGATAAAGCTGCAATGCGGACAGACCTAAAATTAAGCTAAGTGGAAGAAGCCAAACATAAAAGACCACAAATATTATATGATTCTATTTATATGAAACACCCAGAAAAGGCAACACTATGAAAGGAGCACTGGTAAACTATTGCCAAGAGGTAGGGTAACAGGGATTAACCATAAATAGGCACAAAAGATCTTGTTGGGATGATGAAAATGTTCTAAAACTGGATTGTAGTAATGCTGCAAAA